TTGTCCTCTGGGTGCAATGAGATCACTTTTAAGATACATCTGAAATGCATCAGCTTCTTCACATTTAAAAAAAAAAAAAAAGACAAACCAACCAACAAACAAAAAACAGAATCACAGTAAATTTCAATCACCGGCTCTTTTTTTTGGTACAGTTTCCTTGGACTTTGCCATTGAGAACAAGCAGGAGAGCAGAGACAGCTACACTCAGTGCTAGGGAGTGTTAACCAGTGACTGAGAAAGGGAGTGCTTCCCAGGTAGCACGTGAGCTGGGCAAAATGTGATCAAACTAGAGATGCCCTGCCCTTTGATAAACAAGCACTGAATCCTTGATGCCTGAAGAAATCAGTGGATTGGACACTTTCGCCACAGCAAATCTACTGACAGCTTTCAGACAGAAGCACCATTCAGTGTCCCACAACCACCTAACACCACGCTGGGAAAGCTGTATTTAAATCACTCCCCTGAAGTACCATTAGTAACTGTCCTGTAGCCACGATGACTTGAGATGAGGCAGTGAGAGGTACTGCCTCTTCTCACAAACTTGGCTTCTTTGCTCACAACTTCACCTACAGAATATCGAGGACTTCCCATTTCTGAAACCACCAGAAGCAACCTCAGGAACCACTTGCCGGGTGGCTGCACAGCCCAGTGTTACACATCCTTGCAAAGGTCACTCTGAAGGACCACAAAATCAGCGTAACACAGCTCCAGCTTGTTGGACAGGCAACAGGCACCCACTTCTAAACTGGTGTTGGATTCCAGACACCTCCTGCTTCTCCACTAAGACCTAGACACAGGTATGAAAACAGTTCCTCCCTCACTCATATCCACGATTGCTAAAGCACAGCAGTCTCCCGGGGAACGCTGCTGACACAGCCCTGACATCCAGCACCCGGGGCAAACACTTTACCTTGGAGGAAACTCACCGTCCAAGCCGGCACGGAGCGGCAAAGCCCATCGGGACGCCACCATGACCAAGTTCCTGAGCTGTGGGCAGGCTTTTCCTCGGTCTAAATGTCTCTTCCGCTATCTGTGTGCGTGTACGTGTGTATCGCTCTGAAGTGATGTAAACAGAAAGGCATGCAGAGCAGTGGGCGATATGTAAATTCAGCTGGAAAATCCCACAGCTTAGCCAATCTCCGTGCTGCCTCCCAGCCTTTCCCTGCCTGCTCTGAGACTGAAGAGGTTTAGGCTAGTGCCGTGTCCTGTAGCCACGATGACTTGAGATGAGGCAGTGAGAGGTACTGCCTCTTCTCACAAACTTGGCTTCTTTGCTCACAACTTCACCTACAGAATATCGAGGACTTCCCATTTCTGAAACCACCAGAAGCAACCTCAGGAACCACTTGCCGGGTGGCTGCACAGCCCAGTGTTACACATCCTTGCAAAGGTCACTCTGAAGGACCACAAAATCAGCGTAACACAGCTCCAGCTTGTTGGACAGGCAACAGGCACCCACTTCTAAACTGGTGTTGGATTCCAGACACCTCCTGCTTCTCCACTAAGACCTAGACACAGGTATGAAAACAGTTCCTCCCTCACTCATATCCACGATTGCTAAAGCACAGCAGTCTCCCGGGGAACGCTGCTGACACAGCCCTGACATCCAGCACCCGGGGCAAACACTTTACCTTGGAGGAAACTCACCGTCCAAGCCGGCACGGAGCGGCAAAGCCCATCGGGACGCCACCATGACCAAGTTCCTGAGCTGTGGGCAGGCTTTTCCTCGGTCTAAATGTCTCTTCCGCTATCTGTGTGCGTGTACGTGTGTATCGCTCTGAAGTGATGTAAACAGAAAGGCATGCAGAGCAGTGGGCGATATGTAAATTCAGCTGGAAAATCCCACAGCTTAGCCAATCTCCGTGCTGCCTCCCAGCTTTTCCCTGCCTGCTCTGAGACTGAAGAGGTTTAGGCTAGTGCCGAAAAAAACAACCACTCTCTTAGCACACACAGATTTATTTCTCTGATCAGAAAAATCCCCAGGGGCAGGACAGTCCGTCACTCACTTTAAAGGGAGTTTGAGTTTCTCATCCTCTTTAGATAGTTTCCAAACTATTCAAAATACTGAATATCAAGCAGCAACTCAGTCTTGGCTTGTGGAGACAATTGTGGGCAATCCAATTAATAAGAATTGCCAGAAAAAGGCAGAGCTTTCCTAGGGTAGTGAGCAGGGCTCGCCTGAAAGACAGGCACTGACAGTGGGGGACTTCTACTGCTGGGACACCCACCACACACAGGAGAACAACATGCTCCCATGGCTGAGCCTCTCCCAGGAGCAGGCACTGCACAGAGAACTCTCACCCCACTCCAGCACCCAATACACCTCCTGCAGTTTTTACACGTTATTAAAAGCAGCAAAGTAACCCTGATGATGCTATGAACTGCACTGAAAGCAGAGCAGAAGCAGTGGGTACATTGGGGTGCCACTGCCCTGAACTCCTGGGGGAGTTGCTGAGCTTGAAAAAAAGGGTGACACGAACCCCTGTGAGCAACCACCCCTCTCCTCTCTTGGCCCAGGCAGCCACTATGTCCCCCAACCCATGGGCAAGGGGACGTGCCAGTACGTGCCTCATCATGCCCACGGCAAAAGTGTACAGCCAGGGAAGACAAGGGGCATAAAAATCAGGAGGGAAGAGTTCTGACAGACCAAACTTGTCCATGTAATCTTAGTGAGACAAGGAAGGATTTTCTCACAAAAGCTTTTCTTCTGGCTCAGCTAGGCTTGGCTGAGATGACCTGCGAGGCAGGTATGATCACGCTTCAGAAAATGCCACGGTGATGGCTAGCTGGGGCTAGGAAGGTGCCACAGAACAGGCAAACACTCAGCCCATGAGGTGAGTAACTGCTGAACACCAGCTGAAGGCAACTGAAGCTGCAAAAACGCTCAGCATTGCTCAGGACCAACCCCACACGCTGCAGCAAACCAAACCCCAAAGCTTTCTGTATTGTCGTGGGTAGATTTACCTTGGCCTTTCTCAGCCCTCCTTGAGACAGCAGTGCCCAGGACAGGGGACCCCACTTGGAGGAGGACCCAACAGACTGCGACAGTTCCCTGTTCAATACTTAGGAAACCCCAAAACTCTTTGAGGTGTGCCATGAGAACAGCACTGACCTCTCACTCCTTGTCATTGGTGATGGCCAGCAATTTGGATTTGTGTTTAGTAGATGCCTGTACAGCACCTGACGCAACGCAGCCCAGTTTTTGGTGATACAATGGTTTATCTTCACCACAATGCGCTTTCTGTGAACCACCTCCCCTCCTCACACAGCTCCCAGGGAACTGTGTAAAGGCTGTCATGGAAGCGGGTGACATTCTCATGCCACTTTTCCTCAGCTTGAGCTTTGTAGAACCCTCCTTCACTCACTCAGCCCTCTCCCTGTGAGCCCAACAAACATCCCTGTGGCTCAAAGCAAGAGTCATTTCCATACAAACGCCCGAAGCCAAAATTCAGCAGCTACTTAACAGGAACACTAACTGCTTGGAGCAGACTGAAAAGAATATATGACCGGGGTGAAAATGCACAGGGAGGCAAAATTAAACAAGGTGTTTGGCAACAATGTCGAAGTTGAAAAAATAACTGCAAGGCCAGAGATCTTCACAACACACCTACCCCCCTGGAGGGGGTACAGTAGCCCGGACCTGGCTCATTATGTACATACCAAACCCAGCTAACTTATGTACCAGCTTTCTTCCATGCTCTTTAGCCCCCAGCAGAGCCTGTCTGAGCCAGCGTCTTTGACACCAACAGGGCTCAAAAGCAAGCTGAACCAAAAGAAGGTCCTCACTTCTGGCTTCCATGCAACACACCAGGACCATCGGGTCACAGTCACAGACCAAACTGGAGAAAAAGCGTTTGACAGCAAGTCTGTCAGAGGAACAGCAGCCTCGAGCGGGCAGCAGGGTAAGGCAGAAACTAAAGAGCATGTTTGAAACAAGAAGAAGATAGCGCAATTTCACTGCCTGCTCCGAGGTGCACGACCGTCTTGGGGCAGTTACGGAGATCTACCACCAAATAGCCTGTATTGCATAAGCCATAAAACCAAACCATAAGGAAATGAGGTTACTGGGAAATCAAGAGAGAACCACCAGCAACACGTGCCCCGAGTCGGACAAGGAATGGAGCAGAAAAAGACAGAACTCAGCACACCCTGCGACGAGGTTACGCCAAGCAGCCGAGGGAAGGCAGCCGGGGGGAAGAAAGCGAGACGCAGACAGGATTCACCGGGGACACAACAACACCAGGGGGGAGACACAAGCTGCCCCGTGCACCCGAAAATCCACGCTAACACCTACATTGTTTATAAACCAACGCGCAAACGGCCCAAGGGAAGGGAAGGGAACGGCAGAAGACCCGGCAGAGGGAGACATCCCCCGGCGCTGCCCCGAGCCGTCCCGCAGCGCCCGGAGGAGCTGCCACAGGCGCCTTCCCGGCGCGGGGCCGCCTGCCCGGGCCTCTCCGCGGGGAGCCCGCGGCCCAGCGCCCCTCACCCTCCCCACCGCCCGGCCCAGCCCTTCCCCTCACGGCGCGCTCTCTCAGCCCCAGGCTCAGCCGCCTACCCTCAGCCCGGCCCGGCGCAGCCCCGCTCGTACCTGGCAGCAACAGCAGCAGCAGCGGCGGCGGCCGGAGCGCCGGTGCCCGGCCCCGGCACATCGCTACCCCAGGCCTGCTCCCCGCTCCTCTAGCGGCTCAGCTGTCCCCCGGGCCGGAAGCCCCCCTCCCCGCGCTCCTCGGGACTTGTAGTCCAGCGCGACGCCTTCCGCCCACTCCTCGCCGCGCCTCCGGGAAGTTTGGACTACAACTCCCAGCGGCCCTCGCGGAGCAGCGCTGATTGGTGCCTTCCCAATCACTCTCTGCTACAACCACTCTTGCTACTGGCTTGGCTCGGCCTCCTGCAGGGGCCAATCAGGCGGCGGCAGACCACCGCCTCGGGCCACGCTGCGCAGCGCCGCGCCATTGGAGCGAGGCAGGGCGGCGACCAATGAGCGCTGGGAGAGGCGGGAGGGCGATCACGCCAACGGTTCGCGATTGGCCGGATGGGCGGGCAGCCTGACCAATAGCGACGCGGGGGCAGTTATAAAGTATGCAGCGGGGGCACGTGCCCGGTCTTTCCAGCCAAGAGGTAAGCGAGAAAGGATAGTGGTGGGGCCGTTAATGGGGGCGGGCCGGGGATGATCTATAATCTCTTTTTCTGACACCTCGTCTGAGGGCGGCGGGCGGCCGCGGCCCCTGCTGACGATTCACAGCTGAGGCCCGAAGGAGCCTCGGCGGGACCGGGCGGGGGCGGTGCGGCCTAGTTCTCACCGCGCTGCTTCTCTCCTCAGGGCCCGGCGGGAACGGGATCGCGCCGGTGAGAACCGGATGGTGGCGGCCTGAGGGGCGGTGAGGCGGGGGCGATGAACGGCGACGTGGGAGGTTCATCAACCGCCTTCCTAGGGGTTCGGCCCGGGCACCGGTACTCTCCATGCCCAAACCGCGAGTGCTGCCCGCCAGCCCTGCCTGCTGGGAGGCTGCTGGCCTCGGGGCGTCGGGAAGGTAGAAAAACGGTATCGCTTGTTTCTAGCATACCATGGGCCTGTATAAGCTTCTTCAGGGATCTGCAGCCGCAGGGAAGGCAGGAGTGGGTCTCAGGCGGGTGAAACTGGGGCTGGAGTAACTACTAAATGCCGTAGCACAGCTGCTGTTCAAGGGATAGTGTAGACTACAAACTGTGAAGCAAAGCTCAGACTACGGCTAAAAGTGCACTCCTCTGGGGTTGCTGTATCGCACAGGGAAGCTGCTGTTTCTTACGGTGTAAAACTTGAGAGTCAATCAGTTTTTAAAGCACAAAGCAGCAGCTGCAGAATTAGCTGAAGTACATAAAACAAAAAGTAATCGACTTTTACTCTGCCACATGGAGTAGCTAAAGGTAAACCTCGTGGCAGGTGGTGGATGCCGTGGTGTGGGTAACTGAAAGGATTCACAGTATGAACTCCAGTGCTAGATTGTGTAGATGGCTAATTTAAATCTTGGAGTCTGTGATGCTAACTAGCTTTTTGGAATATTACAAGTTCCTCAGGTGATGTTCTTCTCCCCAGCCTCAAATCAAGTTCAGCCTTGTCATTCTTCAGTTGTTTGCTGCTTTATCTCCTCTCTGGCTTCTCTACTTGGCTAATTCTGTAGCTTACAGATCTAATAAAGTTTTCAAAAGAACTTGTTTGGCTTCTGTTTTTCATAAATCTACAAATGACGTTTAAAACTTGGTGTTTGGGCACCCAGCAGACTATTTCTGGTGCTACTATTCACTTCAGGGGAACCAGAGCATCTTAAAAGATGTGCTGCAGCTCAGCTGAGCCCAGCTCCCTTCAATTCCTGCTGGGTGCACTGGAGCAGCTGAGCTTGTGCTGGTACTGGGAGGGTTTAGGTGGGTTCAAAAATGAGCCGAACTATTCGAATGATTAAATGGCACAGGTGTGTACCTGAGACAATCAAAATACCATGGTAGTCACAAAGATTATTAAAAAAATTTATTAACAGGAATGAAACAAAAGCTGTAAACAAGAGCCAGCGAAAATGAGAAGTTGCACGTGATGCCGAGTCCTCTGTCTTGCTAGAATGCACTGAACCATTAATTCCTCATCGCTTGGTGGCAGTAAAGGCCCATGTGAGAAGATTCCAGATAACAGTCTGAGGAAGAGCTTTGGGGCAAGGTCAGTGCACAGGCACTGGTGACCAGTTGTAGAGAGGGAACTTGTGACTGGGAGAGACGGGAGCTGAGTCTGCCTTAAAGTTTAGGTCTAATACCCCCAAATGCAGTTGGGATCTCTCTACTGTAGTAATTAGCTCCCAACAGGCATATTTAAAGTACTCCAAAGGGAAGCATTTGCACCTTTCTTATTTAAATTAGCTTTTTAATTGGTTGTGGTCCCACTCTGAAGGACCAAGCTGAGAGTTGTGAGCTTTTTCTTCAGGACAAGGCACGAGGCTCTCCTGCCCTTCGGGGAAAGAGGGAAAGCAGTGACCTGATGGGAGCGTTGGGAATAACGCTGCTTGGTTTTGCTTTCTGGGAGGCCCGTGGGGTGGTGTGTCCACGCAGGGAACTGTCACCTCGGGACAGGCTCCACTGCCAAGGTCGGGCTGAAAAAGGGCAGTGCCAGAGGCAGACCTGGGCACGGATGAGGTGTGGGAGCTGCGGATGCTGCTCCTTCCCTGCGGAGCTGCGATACCGAAACGCTGGTGCTCGGCAAGCTCAGGATGAGAGAAAAACCCCAGTCAGACGTGTGCCACGCAGCCCGGGATGAGAAATGGGAGAGGAGCACCCTCGTGTAGGAGACACTGGTCAAGCAGCAGCCACGGGAGCACGGCAAAGCTCACCAAAGCAGCAGAAACAGGGAGTTTTCACCCATTCCCGTGCGCTTCTGGAGCGCCTGAGCAGCTTGTGGAGCCTCCCCCTGGTTGCTACTCACCCACAAACCTCAAGAGACCGCTCATAGCAGGAATTTGAGAGAGGGTGAAGAGAACTCCAGTTAGTTACAGCAGAGAAAGTCTCTGCTGGAGCAGCCCTGGCCCCTTGGATCTGTGGGGAGCACTCGCTGCTGGACATGGGACACAGGGGTGTCCCTGGACTGCCATTCCCCCCCTGCAGCCATCAGCACAACTCTCCTGCCTGCTCCTGTGGTGCTGGCAGTGGAGCTCTGCCTGCAAGAACTTCTTTTTTTTTTGCAACAAATAATTTAAATAAAATTTAAATCAGACAGTTGAAAGACTTGTTTCTCCCTAAAATGCTATTTAGGAAAAAAAAAATGCTCTGTTCTCAGTAGGCTTATTTTAGGATCTTTTTTTCATACTGTTACTGGGCTGGACTCACTTCAGCAGCTCATTTTACTGTAGCTGACTGAGGAGTGCAGCTCTGAGGAGTCCCTGCCTGAATCACACGCAGCAGCTGCAGAGGGTCTTTTCTGCACGTCAGGAATGCGGTGCTGGAGCAAAACGAGGGGCAGAGGCATCTGAACCGACTGCTGAGAGAGCTGGTGCTTGGCTGCGGGGTGAAGGATGGGTTATTTTAATTTAAAAGTGGTCCATTTAGGGCAGCGTGGGGAGGTTCAGCGCACTGGGCACCTGGTTGTGCATGTGGCATTTTCAAAGAAAATTGCCAAAGGCCAAACACTTCATCCAAATTCAAATCCGTACTTAGAAGTTCAGCTTTTTTTTTTTTTTTTAAAAAAAAAAAAAAAAAGCCAGATGACTGACACAGACCAAAGGGGTGAGGAGTCCCTTGAAGAGAGCTGGCAGGAGAGTCTGAAACCGGTGAAATCAAAGCCTACAGCATCCCCCCCAGCTTCCTTCAGTCAACAGAAAGAGCTGTCCCAAGAGAACTTTGAAGATATCAAAGCATTGTTGCAGTCTAAAAACGCTATCGCACTTACATGAAGGTATTTAGGATAAGCTGCAATACACCAGATTTCTTCTCAATTAAAGTACTAGAAACGGCAGTAGTAAGAGAACCAAAGCCTTTACCAAACAGATAAACATTCAGGAATCTCTGTACAACAGATGGGTCAGCAGGAGCTCACTCGAACAGACAGCTAAGCTCGTGTCGTCTGTGGGGAAGAGGAGGAGCCTTCATCGCGGAGGTGCATTGCACCCCAGGAAAGATGGACAGACGTCAGTAAGCAACTACAAAAATGGTTGCCTTGAGGACAAGTCTTTCCTGTGTGGCCCAGGCTGGGGCTCTGAACAGCTCGATTCCAGGTTCTTGGGGAAAGAAAAGGGAAATCAGGACTTTTTCCCTACCCAGATGTCTGGGTGGGGAGAAGGCGGTTGTTCCCCTCAGCCATAATTCTTGCTAATTAAAGAAGCTTCATATGGCTCCTGGCTGCTGCTGACCGGGTAGAGACAGCCAGGTCCTGGAGGGGACCACAGCAAGAGCCCAGCCCACCCCGGTCCCATCCTGAATGCCCACCTCCCACCTGCATGGGGATGGGTGGTCACCAGCAGGAGTGACCGGCGAGGGCAGCCGGAGGGCTCGCAGTGCGGATGGAGGCGATGGGGGGCTCGGGGAGCAGCGCCTGGCACTTTGCTGTAGCACGGCCAGCATCCGCCCCAGCCGAGGGAGATTCCTCCTCCTGCTGCTTCCCCACGTCCCGGCTCACCTTTTCGGCAGATACAGACACGACAGACAGACATGCACACATTGTCCACGAGAAGAGAGAGAGAGAGAGCGCGGCGCACAAACACTTGGGCATGAGTCTCTGTACAAATGCACCGAGCACATTAGGACCTGCAGCAGCCCGAGCCTCTCACTTCCTTCTTCACGTAGTCGTGGAGCTTGAATTTGGGCTCGTTGGGCAGCTTCATGGACCTGTGCTTCAGTTCCCTGCGGGAAGGGGAAAAACATTACTTTTCTGCCCAGGCTGCCTGCTCTTTTAAGCCCAGCGTGGTTGAACGCGATGTGGTCTAGGTGGTTTGCTAAACCTCCCCCTGATGAGACACTTCACAGCTCATGTGAGATGGGAAGTACCTGCCAGCACAAGAGCCAGAGGGTGGGAGCCAAGGGAATGAAAAGGTGGGTGATGGTGCCAGCCTTTCTCTCAAAGACGGCTGTCCCCTCTGCAAGAGAGGTGCCCGGCACGGCCACCGCACTGGTCACTTACTTTGCAATGGCTGTGAACGCTAATTCAACATTGAGGCCACTTTTTGCGCTGGTTTCCATAAAGGGCACGCCGTACTCCTGTGGGACAAGACACAGTGGCATCAGAAATGTCCCCCAAGGTGTCCCTGGGGGCTCCTGGGATGGAGCCCCAGCAGTCCTGGCTGACATCGGTGCCTGCCGCAGGAGCTCATACCCCTCCTGGGAGAGGGGTCCTTGCCAAGGTGGGCAGGAAAAGCTGAGCATTTCACAGCTCAGGTGTTTCTTATGCAACTTCAGGAATAGTTTTTGAGGACAAAGAAATGAAAAACATTAGTGGAAGCTTAAAGGAAGAAGAGTAGATGAGAAGGAAGAGGATAGCAAGACAAGGGAAGAAAAGCAAAGTGCGCCCAGATGTATTTTTGGCCAGACTGGTCTCCAGTTAACCATTTCACTGGTGTACATCATCAATTACAAGTTGTTGTACTTGCACATCCCCCGTTAGAGAATGGAACAACCAAGTCCGCTGCAGCCGATGGACACGTCACGTACCTTGGCTAATTTTTCTCCATCTTCCCTTTTCACCACTCTGTCCTGGGCTGAATCCACCTGCCAAAAGAAACAGCAAAGAGCAATTTGGGATGATTTGGAATGTCAGCAGCAGGCCCCCATGTCCCCTTAGCCCTCCCAGGCTCCCATGGCTCCATTGTGGGACCATTGGCAGAGGAAGAGGAGGCTCTGGTGAAGTCGTGGAGCCAGGCTCACCTTGTTTCCCAGTAACATGAGCACCACGTCTTGCTGTGCGTATTCATGAATCTCTGTCAGCCAAGCCTGGAGGGACACAGCCAGAGAGAAGGGTCAGCAACAGCTCCAGGAGGAGGAGGAGAAGGAGGAAGGACGGGGGGCTGCCCCACTCCTGGGTACCAGGCACCCCCTATGGGAAACAGAGCTGTCCCCAAGCAATGCCAGGGGGTGTTACGTGGACACAAGGAGGAGGTGGCTGAGGGTTAGGTACAAAATCAAAAGCCCAGCTCAGAAACTCAACTGTGCAGGGCAGGAGCTGCAGGCAGGAAGCAGCCGGTCCCACAAATGCCCTGGTATCCAGCAGCGCCCTGGGGAGAGGAACTGCCTCCTTCCCCATGGTTTGGCAGGAGAAGCCAGCCAGCAGCTGAGACTCGGCTCACTTTCCCAGAGAGCCCTGTGGACAAATGGACACCCTGGGGTGTCACCAAGCCCTGAGGGACCCACTTTGCTGAGCAAGCCTGGCACCACACTTGGGCTGCTGCCCAGGTCCCAATTTTCAAGGATAACAGCAGCCTGTCAACCCTGCTGCCCGCTCTGTCTGGCCACAGGCACTTGCAAGAGTTTAACCCAAATTCCCCCTCGGTTGGGACATTAAAACTAAATCTCCTTTTGGAGGGTAAGGCTGAGGGTTTGCTCTGGGACATTCCCATCTCCTGCCCCTGCTGCTCCCGTGCTAAGCACACTCATCCCAGCAGCCCTGGGGTGGCTTCCTTGCCTTTTAATCCAGCCTAATCTAATCAAACCTGCCCTAATTCCCTGTAATCCCTGACCCTGCAGTGCGAGCAGCCGCTTGCTGGCCCCGGAGTGGGCAGTGCTGCTGCATCCCGTGCCCCAGCTCTGAGCCCCGACGCTGGGCTCGCTGTGTCCTTGCTCCATCACTGCTCCTCACCCAGCAGCATCCCGCATCAGCACCCAGCCAACGGGAAGCGAGGGATGATTTGGGATTAGAGCCTGTCACTGACCATACCTTAGGAGCCCAACACATCCAGACACAGCCCCAGGACCTCATCACACCCCCGCTGGGCTCAGGGCACTCAGCTCCACAGAGGGGTTAGTCCAAGGGACACTCAGCCACTCCTGACAACCCCCTCAGCTCACTTCTGGCACCACTACCCCTCTGTCCCTCTTTCCAGTGCTTCACACTCTCCCTGGGTCCTCATTCCTCCCTGCTGGTGCCACGCGTGCCCCGTGGCCATCCCTCCTGCAGCTGTCCCTCCTGTGTCCCCACAGGGCTGGGAGAGCTGAGGCTGCAAAAGGGACTGTGTTACCCAGCAGCATGAAACCTCCAAGTGATTTTCCATCTCGGTGAAGGATCACAACCTCAGCACAGACCCACAGCCTGGTTAACAACCAGCCCTCACTCTCCATTACACCTGGCAGCAAGCACCTCTCCTCAAGCCATCCAGCTCCTCAGCCTGTAAAATGCCACCCCTGGCCAGTCCCAGCCTGCAGGAGGCATTCCTGGTGCCGGTGACATGGGAGCAGGGTGGCAGGACATGCCCTGTCCCCCACCGTGGGACTGCGGGCACAGGGGAGATGGCAGGCATGGGGCTGCCAAAGGATGCTCGGGAGCAGGGACAGCTTCAGGCATCTGGGATCAGGGGAATCAGGGTGTTGCAGGACCCCCCAGGAGCTGGTGTGGCCACGATGCCCCCCCCTGCTCCCCACCCCGGAGGGTGTTAATGCTAGCACGGCACCTCCCGTGCTAGAGAACAGGGTGTTTTTGTGGGCGCACAGCCTGCTCGCCGCAGACACACACAGTGTACTCCGTGTCTGGGACACAAGCAATTACATCCTATTCATTCAGGGCTAATTGCTCCTGGGTTCAGAGCAGGCTCTGCTGGTGCTGCTGTAGGTGGCCCCCAGCAGCCACACGGGTCCAGTGGGCGAGGGGAAGGGGGGGCTGAGGCCAGGTCCTCCTGTACCCCCCCAACCACACAGCAACGTGCCCACTGCTCTTCCTCCCTCTGCCAGATTTAAGGGAGCCCTCTGCTCCGACACTGCTCCCCAGCACCCCCGAAGCACCCACAAAGGGGCTCAGGATCAGCTGGGGGGGCAGGGGCAGACTCAGGCAGCACAAGGGACCCCTGCAAAAGCCATCAGGAAGGGCAGGTCTTTGGGGTGAGGGGTGTGCAGGAGGATGAGACCCTCTGCCCTGCCCTGGTCTGGCACTAAGGAGGGTGGGGGCAATGTGGTACCCAAGGCTGACCCATCAGGAGCTGGAGGTGCAGAGGAGGACGAAGGAGCATCTCGCTCAGTGAAGCTGCCTGTGCTCAGCTACCAGAGCAAGTTCTCCAGCCCGTGCTGTAATTACACACAGCATTAATTCGCTGGTGACGTGAATCCATCACCCCTTTTATTTGCTATGAAAGTGAAAACCTTCTCTGCCTGTCCTCTGATGTCCTCCTGGGCAGACTGGCCGTCAGGCAGGCACTCGGCATTAACCACTGCCCTTCTGGAAACGATGACACACACCTCCAACACACACCTCCTGCAGCACGTACCCCCTCCCTGGCCCATCGCACACGAGGGACGGGCAGGAGGGGCCCGGGGGTGCTGCCGTACCTGGATGTTGTCGAAGGACGCTTTGTTGGTGACATCGTAGAGCAGGAGCAAGGCTGTGGAGAGAAGGATGGTGCATTAGGGACGCTGCCATGGTGCCAGGCAGGAGCATCGCCGAGCAGAGCCCACGGCTCAGAGCTTGCTCTGCACCCTTCCCGGAGGCAGCTTTAAAGCACCATGGAGGTCCCTGCTGTAAAATATAAAGCAATATGCTTAAATCCACCACAGGCAATGCCTTAGACTCCTGGGGTTTGCACCTCGACACGCAGAAGCTCCTCCATCCTTGGTGGCTGCTTCCTACATGGAAATGGCTCCAGTGATTCCCGACTCACCTGGCCTGGAGTCACGGCTCGGGGACCCGAAAAGCCGGAGGGAGGGGGCTCCCCCCGGGAGGCAGAGGTGGCCGTGCTTACCGTGGGCATCCCGGTAGTAGGCGTGGGTGACGCTGCGGAAGCGCTCCTGCCCGGCCGTGTCCCAGATCTGGAAGGCAGATGGGAGCAGAGGTGTTAGCCATGACCTGCCACCGCGTGGGCTGAGAGACCCACCCGGCACCAAACCCACCACCAAACCAAAGAGCACAGCACAACCCCGGGAACCTTCTTCAGCCTTTTGCTTCTAGGGGCAGTAATCGGAAAAAAAAATAATAAATGACAAGTGCAATAAATATTGAAGCAGCACCTCCCCGCTCCTCAGTGCGTGGAGACGATGGTGCGTGGCAAAGGGCTCCCGACATGTCCCTTAATTGGAAAATCCATCCAGCAGATGGATGCGTGGGGACCTGCTAATTTAATTTATCAGTTTTTTAATGCAGCAATACATTTGCAGAGTGCCACGCTGCTGTCAGGGGAAGATCAGCGCTAATGTCGTTATGGAGCTCCTGGCAAAGGGGTCAGAGAAACAGTCGGGTCTCGGGGGGCTGGGGGCAGGGGGGATACAAAACCTCCTTCATCTCCTGTTGGCTGAGCCAGGGGATGTGGATCCCTTTGGAGCATCTCCATCCCTCTCACCATCCTCCAGCTCTCCCAAAGCAGGAGCCAACTGGAAACACCCAGCAAACTCTGCAGGTGCTGCTCTGGTCTCACCAGCTCTGGCTGCAGTCACCGAGCAGCAAGGAGGCAGGTGGGCTGGGATGGGGGCCACCACGGCCAGAACAGCCCCCAGCCTCGAGCAGGCTCCCAACGAGGGGACAGAGCAGCCCAAAGGGCTCATCAGGCTGTGCCAGGGCTGGAGATGTGATATCAAAGGATGGAGATGAAGGACCCACTTCTGGTGTGCTCCTCTGCCAAGGGGCTTTGCCCAGCACCAAACAGCTTGGGGGGGAGTGACAGGACACAAGGACATACCTGCAGCTTCACCTTCACCCCATCCACCGTCAGCACCTTATTCTGAAAGAGAAAAGAAAGGGCGGTGAGGGGTGAGCGCAGCTGTGGGACACCGAGGAGGCTCCCCACACCCCCCCATCCCTCTGGCTGATCTCCTCTCCCCACTTTTTAAACTTGCACACTTTGGTCCCAGCGCCTGGTGGAGCCGTTTGCACCACAGCCCAGCCAGAAGATCATTCCCTGCATCTGCTGCAAGCTACATCTATTTGGATACTTAAGTCCTCGCATCTGCAAGGCTGATTTAGTGCAGTGAGCAGCTTGGGCTAGAAGACCTCTGGCAACAAATTAATGAGCACCAGCATCCCATCTTAATGGCCTTCAAAAACCCCAGCCAACTACTCCATATTCAGTTAGCAACTTAAAAATAACTCCTCTTCCTGCTGTTTGTACCCATTTTAATCCCAGTGAGGTTTTTTTTCCCCCCCTGTTTTGCTTGTTTTTAGCAGGAGAGGTGGGAAGGAGGAAGAGAAGAGGGAGCAGTGCCCCTCCACGCTGCCCTGCGGGATTTTCCCCAAAGCCAACAGGATACTTTTGGTGACTGCCAGGAGCAGTGTGGGAAAGGTGGGGGGAGCCCATCGATGCCCCTCCGGGCAGCTCTGCCAGCCAGCAAGGGCAGGGGATGGATCCTGACCACATCCAAGAGCAACCACCAGCCCCGGCGAGCTGCACAAGGCTTCTCCAAGCTTTAATCAAACCCAACCCTAACGATCCAACAGTCCCAGGGGAAGGAGCAGAGAAGAGATTAATTTGCCTGCTCGATCCACAGAAATTAGCACGGTAATCAGTAGGATGTGATGAAAACGGTGCACCCAGGGGGACAGGGCAGCCATTCACTCTCCAGCGATGACCAATTTAAATCCCAAGCAAACCCCCTCCCAGGCAAACGGTGGCACACGGATGCCAAGAACCATCCCTGCGCATCCCATGCCACGCAGCACCAAGTACCGGGCACTTTGGGATGCCAGCACCTGGCATCACCCTCCAGGATGGTGCCAGCAAGGCTCTTCGTTGCTGTTTTGACGTTTTTAATTAGGGCAGGGGGAGCATCTCGGCTCCTGCACATCTACGCTCGCTGAACAGCAAGGATATGGGTGAGGAGGAGAGGGCAGGAGGGAGCCAGAGCACTAAATTTACACAGTCTGCTAAAGCAGGCGCAGGGTAGACGATCGTGGTTTATAAATACCTTCAAAGGCAGCAATCGAGACGAGGGAGCGGAGTGATTCACAGCCCCGGAGAGGTAAAAATAGGCAGCCAGGCTGCGGGTGCAGGAGCCAAAAAGGGCTCGGGGAGGTGGCCAGGGGCTCGGGACCAGCTGCCGTGCCCTGCGCGTGGAGCTGAGGCTTTCCTTGGGATGCAAAGATGGGGCTGCTGAAGGCTTGAAGTGCTTAAAACCAGGGGTCCCCATGAGGTGTTTCTCGGCCCCCACACCATGTCCTGGGCAAGTGTGGCCACGCCAGGAGAACCATCCCCGGGGTGGAAACACACCGTGGTGAGCAGCACTGAGAAAATCCAACTGGAGGAGCTGCACCTTCACCACCATCCCAGTGGATGGAGAACCGTGCTGCCGGGCACCCATTTTGTGGGTGAGACGAGGCAGGTTTACTCTCTGCAGAAGATCCAATTTCTAAGCTCAACTTGCCCTCCAAAACCCCAGGTCCTACCCACAGGTCCTGGTGCCACACCAAAGGCATCAGCACATCCAGCAAAGTGCAGGGGCTGGGAGCCCTGGGATCTACACCAGTGCGATGCTCATCCAAATGCTGTCCCCAGTCGGTGACAACCAGCTGCCAATGCCACCTGCTAGGGACCATGTCAGGGACCGTGCCAGGAGCTGCAGAGGAAGAAAAACACTCTGCTTTTCCCCCTTGGCTCCGGAGCGGCCGGCTGCTCCGGATCTTGGCACGAGCACCAGCCGCCCTCGCAGGGGATGAGGACGCTCGGTGTGACGGATGATGACAAGGGACAATGACACTAAGAGCTTCACATAAAAACTGCACCAAACAAGTGCCCTTCCCTGCTGGCTGCACCAGCACCTCCAGCGCAGAGCATGGACCGAGGGGCAGTTGTGTTCAGGGATGTGGCCATGTCCCCAGCATGGCCATGCTCCAAGGGTGACCGGTCACCACAAGCCAGAGGAAAGGAGAACATGGCCCTGACCCTGAGCGTGAACCAGTTGAGTTGAAGCGACCACAAAGCATCTGGTGAGCAGCCGAAAAAGCTGAGGCTTCAGTGCTGCACCTCATGCATCGACCTCCACTTCAGGAGCTTAATTAAACGCAAAGCTGGCAGCAGCAGGATTCACACTAATTATGACTGACCTACATTTTTTGTGGGGGGGATGCTTAAGCCTAATTAACGCTTGTGTGTGGACCCAGGTGCTACTGGATTGGGGGAAAAAATGGATTCCCCAGGGTTTCAGTGTGGAACAGAGCTGTGTTTCAGGGCGAGCAGTTGCAGAGATGCTCCTGTAGGCAGGAGATGCAGCTGGAGCCATCCGGAGCAGTGGCTTCTGCCTGCATCCCTGCCTGCATCCCTGCCTGCATCCCTGCCTGCATCCCTGCCTGCCCCTGAGCACAGGATTTGCAGAAGGTGGGAGGAGTGGGGTGGGAAAAGCCAGCAGCTGCCACCAGCAACACAACAGCTCTCGGTGCCACGTGAACCACACACCCGATCCTTCCCCCCACCACCACAGCCAACAGTTTCCAGCTGCCAATTATTCTTTTTTTTTAAGGAGCTGCAGTTCAATTCCACACTCACAGCCCTTCAAAGGCACAGCTGGGGGGGTTTAATGACTAATAAGCATCCAAAGACAAAAGCCGACGTGTGTCAATGCACTGAAACATGAAATGCGCTGCCAGCGCTGCCAGGGCTGATCACAATGAGAGGGGTTGTGTTGTTCGGGGCTTGTTCTTAATCTTGCAGGGTTTAATATAATAGAGGTAATACTCACAGCAGGCCACCCGCTATGCAAAATCAGGCAGGAAAGCTGTCCCCGCAACTCAACTCGGTTGTGTTGCCGCCCTTCGCAATTTCAGTTTTTATGTGTCCTTTTTCCTGGGGCTTTGACAATGTTATTAAAATATTCTCTAGCAGGGGCAGCAGTGGAATGCCTGGAGTGCCTTTGTTGGAGGAACATGATGCTCGTAAGTTAAATAATCCTCAGGACAACAGATAAATAAAGTTGGAAGCTTGCAGATGCGGGGAAAAATTAAATTACCAAGTGCAGATGGTCCTCAATTAAGAGAAGCATTATCAACACACCAACGGCCCCGCCGGCTGCAGCCCCGGCACGATCCCACCCCAGCAACAGCAGCACAAGAGTGGCCATTCAGAGGCAGAGAGGAGGTAGGAGAAGATGCCCATGACAGGGTGAAACTGTGCTGCTCCCCAAAACGTGCACACCACGAAGGACGATGCTCCCACCCAAACCAAGGTGCCCTCACGCTGCCCTTGTGCCGCTCCTCAGTGGCTGCGGTTTGGGTAATGCCATTCCCTGGGTCCACGGGGTGCCCACGGTGCTGGTGAACCCCACTGGGAGTGACTGGCACATCCTGGTGCTGGTGAACCCCACCAGGAGTGACTGGCACGTCCTGGCCCCATCGGAGGCACCCAAGTCCGTGCCAGCAACGGCTGCAGTGTAACCCAGGGTCAGCAATTCCACGACAACCCGTCTGCTCCCCAGCTTTTCCACGCATTGGCTCATTAATTAAAGCCTTAAAAATTAAATTGGATACATGGATTAACTTGGTTCACAATTAATCTGACAAACGGAAAGCTGCTCGCTCGCACCGCTCAGGCTTCACCAAGGGGAACCCTCACCCTGGCTCCCCAGCATCTCTGATGGGTGCTGGATCAAGCAATGCTGTCCAGGAGCACCCACCAACACCCACCCACCCTCTGGAGCATCGCCCTGTGTGGGGGGGACACTCTGAGGCATGGCATGTCCAGGGCATGGCTGTAGCATGCAATGCCCCAAAGCAGGGAAAGGGGAGAGGCAGCATTTGGGGACTGGTTGAGGGACCCCGGTGTGCCTGGCTCACAGACCCACTCTTTCCCAAACTGGTGGGGATGTCACCTCTGCTGCGGTGGGCTTGTCCTTGGCCATCCCCCTTCTCCACTTTTACAATGAAAAAGCAAAAAAAACAAACCCTAAATGTCATTAATGCACTTTAGAGGCAGCCCCTGCGGCCAACCAGGGGTGGGTTCCTGCAACAATGGGGAAAAATTGCATTAGTGAATATACATCAAACCCCACCAAAGGCGGCCGGGGCACTGGCCGAGTTAATTAGCGGCAGTAACGGCTCTGCTGTGGGCTGCAGGGCTGACAGCACAGCCACCCAGCCAACTTCATTAGGGCTGCAGCATCACGCGCCGGCCGGGTTGCCAGGTCCCCATGGCCACTCGGGAGCAGACGGGGAGCGGGCGATAGATTGGACCATCCTTTATTTTTAGGAAGCCAGGAGAAAAACAGCAGCATGGCATGGGCGAGCTGGCTGAAGGGATGCCAGGGGTCTCCAGCCCCGTGCCAAGACGGGACCCGGATTCAAATTCCCACTCGGCAAAGCCCAGGGAGCCCCCACCTCCAGGAACACAAACGCTCCCATGCTGAGAGGAGCTGGGATGCGGTTGTGATGGGGCTGTAGCAGACAGACAGATAAACACTACCTCCAGAAACGACTGCAAAAATAGATTAAGGATCGATATGGAAATCTGCCCAAAACAGCAGGACACTGCATTAAATTTGCTCATTAAAACCCTGAAGTTTCCCCACACAACGCGCGTGCCGCTGCCAGCAAGCTGGTCCTGGCAGCTCAGCATCTTCTCCAGCCACAGCAGCCTGGCTCAGGGACAGCCCAGCCTTTTGCCAAGGTCAGGGCTGGAAGAGCAGCCCCCTCTTTGCTCCCTCAGTACAGGTAGTTCTCTACAGACTTGGCCCCTCAAAATTAAGGCAGCCAAATTGGGTGATTTTTGAGACTGAAAATGAGAAAATGTCATTTTCCTTT